CATGGACAGAATTGGAGGAGGTCATGAACTCACACTTCTGTTTCGCCTTATCTGATTTGAAGTTTTAATAACTTTTAAATGAAATAAGATTTTTAATTAATTTTTGTGTGAACTGTTATAAAGATATATAATTCGTGATATTATACAGAAAAAATTAACTTCAAATCTGTGTCCAACTACCTTTAAACCGAATCGGACTGTAACGCTTCGGAACGCCTGCCTTGTGTTGAGAACAAAACCTCCGATGTAATGTTTTATAATTTTATTTAGTAATACATGAACAGCGAAAATAAATAACAGTGTTTGAAATTCACAAGACTCAACCCTTAGGATATAGATCTAAGACAAAATCAGTACAACTATTGATAAAGAACTGGCACTATTTCCAGTAAATCGTAATTTAAGTATAAATTCCCCCGACCAAAATAATACGTAAAGGCTCTCTATAAATGACTTATAAGAATTTACAAATAAGTATCCCGCTACTAGTTCAACTACTAGCACGCAGTCGAAATATTTTCCAACTCCTAAACTGGGCTAAAGAAGATAAAAATAGTTAGTTCTCAGCTAGTAATTATAAATAAAACTATTAATATATAGTAATTATTAATTTAGTCTAACTTAACATTACGTATTATGTACTTCAGTCACTTAGATACTGAAATACTACACACCTTAAATTACCCTGGACAAAACTGGTGACATAAAGAAAACGAGAGAGCAAATGATATTCAGCATCTGAGTATTTAAAGAATTAATTAAACCCGCAAATATTCATAACCGATCATTATAAATAATCCCATCCCGTAACTGCGTAAGTTATAATCAGCCAATCTAATATAATTATTGTCCCGTAATGAAATCTCACTCTCGTACATCGTATGTAAAATTATTACAATACGTAAATACTATAGTAAATTAAACAAATTAATAAAATCTAAATTTACACTTTTAAAATCTCATTCAACACTGTTTAATTAACATTTAATTTAAAAGAATTTACAATCAAATCCTCCGCCAACATAACTACGGTAAAAAAAGATCACCGTGATGCATCATGGGAAAATACACAAATAAACAAGTATGTCGACAGAAGTTTCATTGAAACGTGTGTGCTGGAAGACGATAAAAACATTTATTATACTTCAGTTAAAATGTTTCCTATACAAAGTTCAGAATGAAAAATTGCTATCTTTTATAGTTCATGCATAGCAAAGCTATACCCCGGGGTATAGCTTTTGCTATCCACCCTCGGAAAATTTTCATCCAATTTTTGCCTCCAGTTTTGATTTCCAGCGATAAATCTATTGACTGATGATGTCATAATGACTTCAGTAGCATTGTGACATCATTAGGATATTCTTGCAGTATTATCTTACTCCAAAAAAATTCAAACCTCAGAAATTATAATATACATCAGTTTAATAAAACGCTTATCCACTGTTTGTGAGTGGGATAGTTCTTTTATCAATCCCTTGACAGCGACTATTCCCCTCGGGCAAGCCCTCGGAGAATAGTTCCCTGTCGCGGGTTTGATAAAAGAGCTATCCCACTCACAACCCGTGGATAAGTGTATACTATCACACGACAAATAAGATAACTATAAGATAATCCTTAATTACAGCGCAACTTTATAATTACGTATGTACAATTAAGCCAACAGAAAGCGTGTAATTAAATAGCAAGGCGAAGTCTGACATTCAACACATCGAAACATAAAAAAATGGCATAGATCTTCGCTACATTTAGGCAACCAATAATTAAGAAATAACTCTCACTGGACATTTCAATACTGTATAGGAATTGATGGATGAATTAAAAGTGTGCATGAAAGTGGTCTAGAAAGAAATACCAAGATAAAAAAATAAGATTCAAGAAAAATGGGGATAGGGATCGTTACAAGGCCATTCTTTAAACGTGAGAAAAAGTAGAATCTGCTTGCATAGAACGACATATAGATGTGTTTGACGGGGAAATTTTGTATTTTTGAGATATAATACACCCTTACATTTTTTTTTCATTAAAGAAAGAGTGTGGGGGGGTATTATCCACACTCCAGGTGCCTGTGTCTAAACCTTCTTGTTTTTTTATTAAAAAAACGTACATCTTTTTTATAGGTTACTCCATGATCATGCCATGTGTTCATTGTGTATGATTAGGTTGTCGCTCTCAGTTAATTGCATACCTTTCCCTTGACAAACCGTTATCTCTAAATCGATTGAGAGTCTCTTAAAAGTGGTACCGGGCAAATCGTCAGTGCACAAACTACATAAAACGGAAGTCTATATAAACGTCACAAGTTACAGGGTGTGTGAGGACCCTTAAGCCAATGAACTACATTCATAGTTATGATGAGGAAGGTTGTCTCTTCCAAAAGTGTGAATTTCATGCCCGGGTTCCGATGGTAGGGCGGGATTCCAATGATTATATAAAAAGATATAGTGAAAATACATTATTTTATAAAATCTTATCTTCTGCTCCTGAATATAAAACATTAAACTATGTACATAAATATTTTGAAAAGGGATTCCTTTTCCAATGCTCTGAATGTCATGGCCCTAGGGTCAGGGGCCTGTTCCCCCTCCCCTCATTTTTACCCAACGTTACTTGTACTGTTGAAAATGTGCATTGAAAGGCTGGTTCTTCCCCCTGCTTTTCAACATTTTGAAGTAAGTAAAATTTTTTTTCTAAAGCTGCCCCCCCCCCTCACTTTAAAAAAAATGCTACGTCACTGTAACACTGATGATCTATAAGCAGGGTTCTCCACATTTGAAAATTTAACCATGGAGGAAGCTGCGCGAAGACGAAATGTCACCCAAAACACAAATGCGTGTTAGATTTCCTAATCTTCATTAATCAATGATTGGTTTTACATTTTTTGAACTAAACCACTGCAACACAAAGCAATTGAATAACTAAAACTTTTAAAGTTAAAAAATAATAATTAAATTGAAAAGGATTTATCCTGTATCTTACTTCACAAATGTACCAAAATTTGCCCAAACCTGTAGTAACCTTCTGAAGGACTTTAAAGAAAAATTGTTGATACAGTAAGTCAGTAACCTTGGTAATATTTTTCAGAAATTAATAATTATAAGAATTATAGCCTGTAGTATAAAATGTTCTGTTTCAAAATAACTAAAACTGATGAAGGGTAGTATTTTGTAAGTTTACACACAAAGGAACATTTGGACCAGTGTCCCTTTTTTCTAAACGTTTTATTTTTCTAGATATTGCATTTATCACCAAGTTTTGTTTCCTTCTCCACGTGGCCCAGTGCTAAAAATAGCGCCACGCGAACGTTTCATAACAACGGGAAGTAATTCTAAAAGTACTACTATACTTATTAAAACTAATAATAAGCATAATAATAATAAGACGGAAATTGAGACGTAGCCCAATGTACATTTTATCAAAAAGATAATAAAGTTAAAGCTGAAAAAACAGAGCATGGGAAATTGTTAACTATGGAGGAATATGAAATTTTTACGGAGCATTTTCTTCTGACACAGCATGCATGATGATTTTCATGCTCGTAATTGTCATCTTTTATAAACCCGTGACATATCCAATCATGTAGAAAACATGTTGAAGTTCTCCAAAATTATTTACATGTGTATTGGATAATTAACTCTTAAATTAAAATATGGATCATCTGATCAGCTGATTGACTCTCCACCGATTGTCACGCTTCACAACGTAGTCGCTGATTACCGACGTGTTTGTTTAGCACAATCTGCTTTCCTTTGAGGCATGCGAGGTGCATAGCAGTCGTAGTATAAACTCAATTATCTACTCAGGTCATAAAAAAAAGTATGTGTTAGGACTGAAATGCAATAAAATTTAATCATTGCGGCTGCCGAATTAAACCATGGCGCAGCTCGTTTAACCATGGCGCACATGGTAAAACCCCGTGTGGAGAACCCTGTATAAGTACATAATTATGATGTGCAAGCTTAAAGGTGCTTCTTCCTTAATTCTGAATTTCAAGGAAACTACATCGTGATTTAATGTGATAGGTTTGCAGGGCCAGTAAGGGATATGCGTGTATTGTGATTATCATTCAAGATAGATATTGCAATGTTTGAAATAATTAAATGTATGATTGTCAAACCGTAGCAATTCTTTACTTGCAAACTATGATCAATGATAGCTTCAATTCTCCGTTGAAAATAGTCTGTCGATTTGAAACATGTTGCATACACGTGGTCTAGGTCATCGGCATATTCTCATAACAGAAATATCGTATACATTATTTCTATATTACATTTTCGTCTTTTAAACTGTATAAGTAGTGTTTGTTAGTTTTTTTATGCTACCGACTTATAGCAAAATCATTACCGAATATTTTAAACGCCAAGCAAAAGCCAAAACAATACAGTTCAAAAATCACGTCTCGGAAATAAAAAGTGTAGTTCCGATTTTACTATTTATCGGTGACGTAGTGTGAGTATTGGTCTACTTAAAGGTATTCAACCCATCATAGCCTCAGTTTCAATGAATCTAAATGCATAACAGATACATATTGGCTGAATACTCGGTATATGTAGACAAAATCATCATGTTTAAGTATCAATGTTTTAGAGCGGAATGTGACCTGAATTTCTACCTTGACCTGCCCTTGAAATACTCTCCTCCTTTGCCTATAGTAAAACAAAAATCAATTTTAAAAAATCAATCTGTTAAAGATTAGTTTTCAATCGTCAAGATCTAGTAAATGAAAGGTGCCTACATTTCTATTAAATTTAAGACTTATATTCCTTTAATCCTGTTTCATAAGTTTAGCTTGGTTGAATAATGTGTTTTGAGGCATAATTCGTTGGGAATGATGATGAAAAATCATATTTGAAACTGTCATTTCATATGAAAAATTAAGAAAACAAGATATGGATATGGGAGTTTTTTTTCCATATCCGACAAAGAATACGTATCCATATTGCCTAGAGTCTTTCAGAAAACGGTAGCCTCTTCTGTAAGATAATATCAAGTCTAACATAAGGATGGACACTATCAGGCTAGCTTTAGATGCTGGATCTGACCTACATTTTCGAGATGAGTTCCAAGGTAAAGTTTTTGAGCTGGTCAATTTCTAAGTAAATATAAGTCCTTCCAGGACCAAAATTTCATGTATTATGGACTAGGGACGGACCTATCAGACTTGCTTTGAACGATGGATCTGACCATTAATTGAAGGGTTTGGGTGACCAGGTCATCCAAAATACATTTAACTTTAAGCCCTACCTGGATCAAGCTTGCATGGACACTTCCAGACTTGCTTCAGTTGCTGGATTTGACCTTCATTTTCGAGAAGAGTGACCAGGTTAAAGTTTTTGGAGCATGTTTATTATAAAACAACAATAAGCCCTGCCTGCACCATACTTGCATGGATGATGAATCAAGGGATGGACACTTCCAAATTTTGTTTTTGGTGCTGGATCTGATCTGTACTTTCCAGCTTAGTGATTAGGTTAAAGTTTAAGGAGCAGGCCCGTTTCCAAGTAAGTTTAAGCCCTACCTGGAACATACTTGCATGGATGATGCATCTAGGGATGATCACTACTAAACTTGATTCGGATGCTGTATCTGACCTTCATTTTCTGGATGAGTGACTAGGTTAAAGTATTTGTAGTAGTTCCATTTTTACGTAACTATAACCCTACCTGGGACCAAACTTGCATGGATGATACATCTAATGCTATGTTCACACACGGGTTTTATTCGCAGTAAATCAAACAAATCCAATTAAATTGCGTTCCCACGACAGCTAATGCAAAGTAAAGTAATGCAAATTAAAATTCTACTTCTACAGTAAGGCGTAAGTAGGGCGCTATTCTGACATCATTTGCAAATCACGTCACATTATGCAGTAGCAGATGTATTTGACATAATGTTACAGTGTCTGTACACATATTTTAGTGATTAACACAATTTTCCTCAGTTTTTGACTCAATCATAGTACAAGTACTAAAAGCTGACCACCGACATGTAGCATTTGACTTAATTTTGCCATTACGGATGCCTCAAAATTTAATTCGAATTAGCTTTATTTGCTTAACGTTCTAATGGACCTAATGCTAAGTAATTTAAAGTACCATGAATTAATTCGAAGTAAACAATTCCGTGCAATTTCGCATTAACTTACAAGGCATGTATGCGTGGTTCAAATTTAATTCACATTAACTTACGTTTAATACAAATTAAACTCTCCAATTTCAATCAAAAAGTACGTCACTCTGATCTACTTATGGTATTTTATAGCTATATTGAAATACCCCTTCAGTCCTTACTGGGTAAGAATCATTAAACTTTGAAAGTTGGTGCATCTTGGGTCTAAGTATATTTAGAGTTCAAACTTCAAATAGAAGTGATAGATTGTACAATTTATCAGAAGAGCGATTTAAGACCCTTTGGCCTCTTGTTACGTAACTATAACCCAACCTGGACCAAACTTACATGGATGATACACTAAGGATGGGCACTACCAGTCTTGCTTCGGATGCTGGATCTGATCTACATTTTCCAGATGAGTGGCCAGGGTAATGTAATTGGAGTAGCTCTATAATATTATAGCCCAATTTGATTTTACTTACATGGTTGGCGCTTCTAAGGATGGACACTATCAGCCTTGCTTCGGTTGTAGGAAATGAAAGACATTATCTCGATTACTAAACAGGAGAAAGATTTTGGAACAGGTTAATTCTCAATGAATATTAAAACTTACCTAAACAAAACCTGCATGAATATTTTTTTAGGATTTATACTAACTATAAAGAAATGTTAATTGTGTTACTTAAACTGATAACATTCGTCAGGGTGTGTTTTATTTAATCTTTGACAACTGTAGACGTACTTTTTTCCATGGGGTAATAATTCCGCGGAATTTTAATTTCTGTTTAATCCGCGGGTAGAATATCATGCGGATTTCTTAGACTGTCGGTATATGCATTATATTTATATTAAGTACGCTTGGATAAATTTCCGCGAACCGCGTACATATCGTAAATTAATACCACGCGGAAAAAGTACTACTACACTATTTTTTTTAAATATAAATTTACTTGGATCCATATGACACATCATCCTTTGCATGGATGATGTATCTTAAGATGAGCAGAACTGGACTTGCTCCGGATGCAGGATTCGTCCTACATGTTCCAGATAAGTGACCAGATTAAAGTTTTTGGTGCAAGTCAATGACAAAAATATGATAAAGCCTATCTAAATCAAACTTGCATTAATAGGGCATCAAGAGATGAAAGCTCGCAGTCTTGCTACAGGATTTGAATTTTATTTCCTCGATGTGATACTAGTTTGAAGTGGTTAGATAAATCCATTCCCAAGTAATGGCAAGCTCTATCAGATCATATTATATACATATTAGGATGTACACTAATAGATAATTTGTTAATATGGGACTAATTTGCTTTATAAACAATATAAATTGAGGGGACCAATTTAATATCTGATAACCTTATATGTTTTGTAAAACTCTATGGTTTAGGACCAATTTGGCATATCTGCATGAAGTAGTACAAAATTAGCATTGAGTCACTTGCTAACCAAACAAAATTTGACATTTTTTGCACTTATTGCTTTGCATTATAGATCCTTCGACTGTGTCCAGTTTGACAAATAAAGACATTATAGAAGAAGATGACTTATCTGTCAAGTGTTCTGTCACCAATGGAAATCCCTCCCAATACACTGTCTACTGGACCAAGACAGGTGACTCTGGATTTAGACAGAATGGTGCTGTACTACGGATACAGAGAATACAGAGAGGCAGTGCTGGTACCTACACGTGTACAGCACAAAACAGTTACAGCATTGGAGGCACAGGATCAAGCAGTCAGTCCATGACTGTCAATGTACTCTGTAAGCTATTGTTTAGGAGGAATTTGACAAACATGTAGTTAAAGATATAAAGGAACCAAAGCTGATAAAATTAAACATTTTTTTACGTTCGAATAAAGAGGGGACTTTTTATAACACCGAAACTAGCAATATCTATCAATTTGGCACTGCTCCCACAGTCACTTTTTATTTTAATGTAAAGATAAATATTGATAAAAACATTTTAATACTTGTTTTAATTGTAAAACAATCAAAATGTTATTTTAAAAATAGCATTGAATGTATGCTTTGGAAATTTGTTAAATTGTGAGTATCGTTCAATTATTTTAATTATACTTTTGGAATCAATCTTTTGTATCTGTCATATTTTGAAGTACTCATAAAAATAGGAGAAATTGTTAATTTTTGGCTTTTTAAAATGACCCGATTGGTAGCAAGATGGTAAAATTTTGTGTTTTTCTTACATATAATGTACAATATAGTATTGCTTATCATACTTGAATTTCAATTTGAGCAAAAAGTCTAATGTAGTATTTGTATAACTTGCTTTAAAGTGCGAATAATTGGCATTTTCCTATATGATCCTATAGTAGTAGTACCCTTCTTTGAGAGGGTCCCTTAATATTCCCTTAATATTATTGGAAGGTTGGATACTTATTTGATATTTCTTTTCTTTTAGATCCTCCTGTAGTACTACGAGGGCCAACATTTTATGCAAATGAGAGTCAGGAGATTACATTATTTCGGAACATTTCCAGTAACCCAGCTTCAGATGTATCCTGGTTCAAAGGATCTGAAAAAGTTCATAAACAAGAGTCAGTGACTACTGCCAAATATACTATAGATAAGACCAAATGTACAGATACTGGGAATTACACACTTAAGGCCAGCAATAAAATCAACAGTGACTCTGCACAAGTGCAATTGTTTGTTTATTGTAAGTAGAAACAAGGGTTAATTTTTAGCTCTACTGGTCAGAGACCATGCAGAAAAGCTTATGCGATGGTAATGCGTCCGGCGTCTGTCTAGCTATTTGTCTGTCTGTCTGTCTGTCCTCCTACAGTTTTGGTCTGAATTCAATATAACTTGGCACACAAGTAGAGTACACTAAAATAGATAATTTTCTTTATCGGTTTTTGATTTCGATGAATAGTGTTGCCGTGGTTACTAAAAATAGGTATGTTTTTGAAAATTTTTCAAAATGCTATTTCTCCTACAGATTTGGTCTGATTTCTATATAACTTGGCACACTAGTAGACTACTCTTAGACACTGAATTCTATTTATCGGTATTTGATTTCGTTGAACGGTTTTGCCGAGGTTACTAAAAATAGAAATTTCTGTGAATAACTTTCAAAAGGCTACTCCTCCTACAGTTTTGGTTTGATCTCAATATAATTTGGCACACAAGTAGACTATATTAGGATAGATAAATCTATATGTCGGATTTTATTTTGATGAACAGTGTTGCTGTGGTTAGTAAAAATAGAAAATTCTGTAAAATATAATGAAAATGATACTCCAAACACAGTTTTGGTATTCTTATTATTTAATGTGGAATGCAAGTAGACTATACTAAGATACATAATTGTCTTTATCTTTTTTTAACTTTGTTATTTTGATGAATGGCGTTGCCATGGTAGGTAAAATTGAAAATACCTAAACTTTTATTAAAAGCTACGCCTACAGTTGTAGTCTTATTGCAATATCTTGCCACAAAATGAGACTTAATCAACGATCATTATTCTATTAATTGCTGTTGTAAAATTTCAAGTCCCAAGCTTCTTTTCTCTTTTTTTTGTTATAAGTACAGCCATTAGAGCTTCAGTCTCGATAAAGACTTCTGGTTTATAATTTGATGATATAGACTTAATTATCATCAAGAACAACCAACTCATTCAATCAATAGTACAAAATATAAAAGATACCAATAATTTTTTGTTCCCCTGCACATATATATTTTCAATGCCAAAATTTGAGGAAGTTGAAAATGTTCAACTATTAACGCACGACGATCAATACATTACCTAAGTCTTACGTCCTTCTGTCCTCTTTAAATTTTGAACATTTTCTTCTCCAGACACATGTACCATTATATCAACCGAACAAATCATTCTTGGGTCAAAGGTATAAAAGTTTGTTCGAATTCAGAGTCTTGCACAAAATCTCTAAACAAGAATTATGAAAAAGAGTGGAGAAAAAATAATTTAATACGAAGAATCCTTGGTAAAAAAAAAATGAAACTATGGTAAATTTTAAGTGTGAGTGGCTCAAGAGACCTATTGCTCCTCTCTCTATCCTTCATTGTGCATTGTCAGTCGTGCGACGTTTGTCATGTGGTACGTATATAATTTGTACATTTTCAGCATGTACAGGTAAAGGGGAACAAACCTTTTGAAATTTATTGGCCCTGTCCTCTGGTGCCTCAAGGATAGGTCTAAAACAATCAAAATAAGTGCAGTTAGGAAAATTCTTCTTTACTCCTAGACATCAACCAGTCAAACTATCAGTATGATTGTAACAACAATTGAGCTTTGTAACTAAATTGTGTAATTCGCGGTGTGGAGCAAAAAATAGTTTCTGCTCCTAAATATTCAGGAAACAAACAAACAGTATAGTTTTGATGAGCAAAAGTGTCTCTAACAAATTGCGAATTACATAGCCCCTGGGTCAGGGGTTCTAATAATACTTTCGGCAGGGTTGATTATATCAGGACAATTTTTCAAAAATAATTCACCTTTTCTCTTGGGTATTGAGCCAATAAACTAAGTGCATAATTTTGATAACAAATTGCGAATTACATAGCCCCTGGGTCAGGGGTTCTAATAATACTTTCGGCAGGGTTGATTATATCAGGACAATTTTTCAAAAATAATTCAATTTTTCTCTTGGGTATTGAGCCAATAAACTAAGTGCATACTTTTGATATGCAAAGGTGCCTATTTCAAAATTGTGAATTTCATAGATCCAGAGATTCTGTTTTTAGAGTTGAACTTTTATCAGTATATAAAGCATGATGTTTTTGCATAAATAAAGGTAACATTTTTCTTGCAAAAAAAATCAAAGTACTCAGAAGTACAGAAAGCCGGGCTCATTTACAGAGTAGAATGGATTTCTGACACGAATCACTTTTATATTCTGATGATTTTTTTTTAAACTATCAATATAAATGATAAGACACTGACAGTGAGTTTTTCAATCCTAATACCACGGTCCGATTTTGCCAGAATCAGAATTAATCTGGTACCGCAGCTGAATGTAAACAAACAGGAAAGTCTGGTTCCCTCTCCTGCTTTACCTCATATGTGTAGAGAACTACGGTAACACTGATTTTCAAAAATCCTTACGCTAATGAACTATGTTCTTTGACTTATGAAGTTTTCAAAGTCATTACTACTAATGTTTATTTTATATAGATAAAACTTCATTTTATTTTTGTTGCTTTATTTGGCGTTTGTATTATCTCAAAAGCGGTTGAGAGTAAGAACTATATTTTTGCATGTAACTTTAAAATGGCGACTATGGGGTCAACATCCTGCCTTGAACTGGATCACATAAGCCGGCAATTGCTCTTTGAGCAATAAGCCCGGCTAAAAATAAAATTAGATGATATCATTGTGTTATATTCATGAAATTTACGTAATCCTCTGAAGTGCTGCTGATGTCAAACGTGGTCTCCTGTATTTTTTTGCACACATTTGGTGTTCCATGGTTATAGTTTATGTTTTATAGGTTAGATATGGTGCTGTGTCTAACATTAAATCCTCTTGTAATTTTAGACTGCGATACACCTTCTTCCTGTCGCCCATTTCCCTTTCTGTGCTATGCAACATTCAGATGAGCATTTTTAGACAGCGTAAATTTTCAGATAAAATCAGATTCAAAATATCGAGACCCCCCCCCGTTGATAGCCCCTTTGTGCCTGAAATTTGTACAATAGCTATAATGTTAAGAATTTGCATTTAAAAATAGCGCATTTTACTCGGATGCATCGTATCAATCCTTAAAAAAGGTATGTCAAAACAATCCTAAATTTTTCAGCTATTATTCCTGCAATGTGTTTCTTTTTTATGAGTATATTTATTCATGTTTATTAATCAGATGGGTATCAATTTATGATATTACGGTTTCACAAAAGGTAAACCTGCCCAAAAATTTATTTAATAATAGCTCCAAAACTATGTGGTTTATAAAGTTAAAAACTTTTTCAGTTTATAAATATATCATCAAGTTACAGAAAAAAAGTTATCACTTGATAACAAATACTTTAAACTTGAGGCCCATGGGACACATCGCTCATCTGAGCACTGTGGCTAGGAAAATAATCAGTTCACTAATGCATAAGTGGTTCCGATCCTAAAAGGGTTGGCGGTATGATTTGAACAAACCTGTGTCTATGCAAACTTGAATCGACACTAATAAGGATGCTTACATATTTTTTTACTGTGGTTTTTTCCCTATAAGTTTGAACTTTAATTGTGGTCCCACCCAACCCTGAGGGTCATGATTTTCACAAATCGGTATCTAAACTACATGAGTATGTGTTCATGTAAACAAGACCAATCATGATTTTGCTGTTCTCAAGAAGATTTTCCTATATATATTCCTTTGTAAAACTTGGATCGTCCATTGTGGCCCCGCCCTACCCCCGGGGGTCATAATGTGAACAAACTTGAATCTACACTACCTGGGGATGTTTCACATAAGTTTCATCTTTCCCGGTCCAGTGGTTATTGAGGAGAAAAATTTTGAAAATTCACAGCTTTTTTTCAGTAATTTTTAATTATATCCCCTTGGAATAGGGCATGACTCTTCATATGAAAAAATTTGAATCACCTTCATCCAAGGATACCTTGTAGCAAGTTTGGTTCAGTGGTTCTTGAGAAGAAGTCAAAAAATCTAAAAAGGATATTTATCGAGAAAAATTCTTTTAAAAATGCATCTTCTTTATAAAATACACTAAGTTAACATACGAACTTTTAGTGAAATTCATCATTGCATAACATCATAACATCTGCCATTTGCATTATATATATATATATATATATATATATATATATATATATATATATATATATATATATATATATATATATATATATATATATATATATATATATATATATATATATATATATATATATATAATGCTTTCAATAACAGCCTTTCAGAGACCATTAACGTTCAACTTGCCCTTCAACAGCTGTTCAATGATGATGGTTTTCACTAAAAGTGCAGTATGGAACGCCATCACTGCCTTATAGCATAAAACTATGCATTCATTATGTCAATCTATCATTATGTTTATTTCAGTTATACTTTATGTGAAACTAATGCAATGTCCTTCAAAGTAAAAGCAATTGATTAATTTCATGCATATTTTGGTCACTATAAAGATGAGAGGGGGGATCTCCCCTCTCCCCACCCACACATTGGTGCACGTATGAAATTCGATGCGTTTACACTTTTTAAAAAAAAAAAAAAAGAAGGGTTGAAGACTGATAAAAAGCTTAGGACAGTGTTTTGTAGTTAGATCAGAATTTTCGTACTTTTCAAAATAAAATGAAAAAATTGCTGCATTCCTAATGTAGAATGTGCTACACATACTATTTGATTTGCGATAATTATGAGATTAAACGGCCATTGAATTTCGACGTTAAAGAAAACAATCGTTAGTAAGGATTCCACGGGAACTTGATCCTATCTATAAATTTTAACCTGATATTTAATTAAGGAATTACTAAGTCTTGTGTATAATTTAATATTTGATATATTTAATTTAAATTATTTGCAATGTTTAACATATGTGCATGTAATATTGAAAACACAAAACGAAATTTTAGGCATAATCTAAACCTTACGTGACACAATAAAGAGTTGAAATATTCTAAGATATACTGACAAGAGGCTAACATTTTAGAAACAATGTAAAGATACAATGGCATAACATAATAATGATTTGTCAAAAAGTTAGGGAAAATTGACATCATGTAATAGATTCCCGTCGTCCTGTAGCATATTGATGACACAATGTAATAAAGAATTGGCCACATGTGACAATTTGTTCAGATCATGTAATGAAATTCTGACATCGTGTAATATAGACTTGATATTGAATTAAAGATAAATTCACATCATGTAATGAACTACTTAGACCAAATAGTAGAGAGTGCACATAATGTAATAATGAGCTGAAAATATATAAAAACATCTTTACACCACGTAAAATTGTAAAGAGCTGATATAATGCAATAGAAGATTTTCGCAGTGTAATTAAAGTGCGACTTAATGCCATAAAGACTAAACATAATGTAATGGAAAGTTGACATAACGCAATAGTAGTGCGTGTAAATGTCATAAAGAGTTGACATAATGTAATGAAAGATTGACATAATGCAATAGTATTGTGGGTTAATGTCATAAAGAGTTGACATAATGTAATGGAAGGTTGACACAATGCAATAGCAGTGTGAGTAAATGTCATAAAGTGTTGACATAATGTAATGGAAGGTTGACGCAATGCATTTGTTGTGTTCTGCTATAAGGCAGTAACGGCGTTCCATAGTGCAGCATTAAACATACAGGTTCTTTAAAAAAAATATGCATCATTTTTATATACTTTTTCTCAAATAAATTATTTTTTAAAAATGTTTTCAATTACCTTTAATCTGTTAATCAATGATATATTTATACGATGTGAACGTTTTACCTTGAGCTATTGTAAAAATAAATTGACCTTTGGTGAAAACTTAAGAATAATAAAAACTCTCTCACGAAGACTTTTTGTAAATCTGTAATTCTAAATTCTTGTAGATTGAATTTAAAAAAAAGCTTTAAAAAGCACAATATTTAGCTATTAATTTGCCTATATTTTGTTGTAATGTACATTTGATCTTTTATGCTGATTTTAAACAAAAAGAAATTCATTTCGAAAGAAATTTTCTAAATATTGTTTAAGTCATAAATTTCAAAAACAGAGATTTTGTGGATTTTTTTCTATTTATGAGCCTGTGTCCTAAAAATGGCTCAAAGATATATAATCTTTAGTCAATGTGAAAATTGTTAAAGCTGCACCGGCTGCAATACATTGAATTACAAGGAAGCTTCATGTAATCTTCATTGATTCAAAAGCAAGTTCTTAAATTACTCAATTTGAAAAGTTTGAAAATCCTTTAAAAAAGACTTTTCCGACAAAGGTTTTACCTTATTGAGATTCCAAAAGTTTTAGCGTTCTGGTTACAAAACTTTTTCTTCTCTACAGGTATACCACAAATGGTAAAAAACATTACACTTGGAATAACAGATGAAATTGGAATTGAATTTTCAGTCAATGTCATAGCATATCCAAAACCAAGTTATCAACTAACACGTATAAACAAAACTGTTGTCAGTGAAATGACTAGCAAAATTTTTGTGAATGCTGTGAATAATTTCACTATCAGATATAACCAGACATCGGTTACAAAGAGCGATTATGGAGTTTACATTTTGAAAATAAAAAATACCGTTGGAGAAGCTGATATATATGTTGATGTCATTCCTAAAAGTAAGTCTTCATTTTTAGTTCTACTGGACAAAGACCAGAAGAGCTTATGTGATAGTAATGGGTCCGTCTTTTCAGCCTGTATGTATGTCCCTCTGAAAACACTTCTTCAAAATGCTACTACAGTACCGACTGGACACAACTTAACAGAAATCGAACACGGAGCGCACCCGGGTTCGCTCTCTGGGTCTGCTTAGGGTTCGCTCGGGGTCCGCTAGGGCTGACACCGAGCGGACCTAAAGCGAACCCGTAGCGGACCCCGAGCGAACCCGAAGCTGACCCAGAGAGCAAACCCCAAATTCAGTGTCCCAGAGAGCGAACGCGCGTTCGGTATTTCTTTACAGAGCTGTCCATCAGTTTTAGCGATTAACCAATCAGCGCGTCAACCAATCAAAATAGCATATTGATCTGTCGATTTGGATAAAAGATCGAACGTGTTGATTTAATTCAATATAAATCCAAACATTGTACATAGAAGCAAAACGTGTAAATGCAAAGTGTAAATCTATTATGATAATGAAAATATTAGTCTATATTTATTTATTTCAATTCTCTGGGTTGTATTTTATATTTATTTTTTTTCTATTGAAGCAATTAATAAATTATATATAATTTTGATTCTCCACGTAGAATGGTACATGAATATTTACGTATTTATTTTCTGTAGTACTTTATACCAGGATTTAAAGTCCATGAGTAAAAAATTGTGTAAATACATCGGTCAATAGGTAAAAAAAGAAATCATTAATTGGTTTTTTTACTGACAAAAAGAGGATAGAAGAAAAATAGTTGGTATATGACAATTATTGCAAAATTTTATCATCTGAAGATACAAACAGTACATTATTCAATGATTTATTTCCATTTTCTCAATTTACATGTTCCTTCAATTTATTCTAAATTCACATCTAAATTATTGATTTTTTAATTGGGCATAAAAAATAACAGGTACGCCGGGTTCGCTCTAGCAGACCAAGAGCTGACCCGAAACGAACGCAGAGCGAACCCGGAGCACCCGGAGCGGTCCCAAAATTTTTAAAAGCGAACCCGAAGCGGACCCCGAGCGAACCCGGGGTCAGCTTCGGGTTCGCTCTAGATAGTGTTAGGTTGTGTCCGGTTGGCACTGTATATAACAACTTTTACATTTTTCGATTGTTTTCAATATAACTTGGCACACAAGTAGACTACACTAAGATACATAATTCTATTTCACGATTTTTGATGTCGATAAACGGTGTCGCCGTGTTTACTAAAAATAGAAATTTCTGTGAAATACATTCAAAATGCTTCTTTACCTACAGTTTTAATCTGATTTCAGAATAACGTAGCACACAAGTATACTAAACTAAGATACGCAATTCTGCATATTGATTTATGATTTTGATGAACGATGTTGTCCTGTTTACTGTTAATAGAAAAGATGATGTGACATAACTGCTATCTTGGGCCTCTCTTTCCACGACAAATTATATACAGTGCAGTGCCATAAGTGTTTCACGTTTTTATTCCCGCTTTTATTGAAAAAAAATATTTCATAGTTGCATTCTTGTAAATATTTCTGTAAATACGATGTCAATCCCGACTAAATTTAGACAGTATTATATTTAGCTTATCTGCGTCACACGGGAGTTCCCCTGCGGACGCGGGTCTATTTTTATAGCAGTAGCAAACGTAAACAAAACATGGCTTCAAATCGCCGAGAAATGACAGGTGCTCTAAAACAACAAATACTACGTCTAGATAATGAGGGTAGGAAAAAAGTTGAAATAGCTCAAATAACTGGATACGACCGATCTACCATATCAAAGTTTTTGAAACGTTATGAAACACGAAAAAGTATCGAAAATGATCCACGAAGCGGACGACCCAAAAAGATGAGTGTCCAGTCTGAACAGATTTTTTTAAAAGGTTAGTTCTTCGAGATCGTAGGCAAAATTTAGGAGATTTAACAGAAGAATTTAATCGTTCTGTACCTCGTCCAGTTTCTAAACGGTCTGTCCAGAGAAAATTACATTTGTTGAGTTACACACGACATAAAGTAGCAAAAACCCTCACAATATCAGCTGTCAACAGAAAAAGACGAATTGATTGGTGTAAAAACCATAGAAACTGGACTGTAGATAATCAGTGGAAAAATATAATATTTTCTGATGAAACAAAAGTTGTTTTTGGGTCTGATCAACGTGTGTACGTTTGGAGGAAAGCAGATGAAAAGTGGAAGCCCGAGTGTTTAGGACTGCGTTCAGTGCGTAATGGCGGCGTCCGTATCACCGTCTCATTTTGGGGCTTTCCTACTCTGGCGTTGGTACCCTAACCCCCACTGATGATAATTTAAATACAGAGAAGTATATGAATATATTGGACAATCATTTATGGCAAGTTATCGCGAAACATTTTGGTAATTCTCCTTGGATTTTTCAAGATGACAATTACCCATGTCACATGTCTGAACGGGCTAAAAATTCGAAAAATGACAATATTATTCCGTGTTTAGACTGGCCATCGCAATCTCCTGTTATTAATGTGATAGAAAATGTCTGGAGAATGATAAATAACAGACTTGGGCGAGAGCAACACCAGATTAAATCCAAACAAGAACTTGTAAATGCTGTGTTGCGGATCTGAGATTCGTTGACTCTAGGCTATATACAGTGTCTCCACGGAACCAGACCTTGACGAATACAAGCTGTTCTAAAAGCCAAGGGTCATGCTACAAAGTATTGAAAGTTTCAAGGTATCATCTTCAGTGGTATTTTTGTAAGTAAATTTTATTTTACCTTAAGATAATGCATTTAGAATTTGCAACGTCATGAAAACGTGAAACACTTGTGGCACGACGCTTTTTGAATAGTTTCAATAGTTACACAATTTAAATTATTAGGAATACTGCGTTATCTATTATAGACCCTATCACGGCAAAATTTTGCTTAATTTGAGACGGTATGTTCCTTTATGGAAAGAGAATGTGCGGGTCTTGGTACAACGGAAGGATATCAATGTCCGAGGAGTCTACCTCATTTCGTTTCGCTTTATTGATATTTGACTGAATTATGGCATTTTGAATTTTTCATAATTATTTAATAAAATCGGGTTCGTACTGCGCTAAATGGTTATAAATATGAAGCAAGGGAAAAAAAGACGTTGAATGAGTTGAATTTTCGTCTTTATGTGGATTATTTTATTAGTTTTAAAGGCATTCACAAACTGAAAATCAAGCAGTTTTACTTTGGACATAACTTCTGCATAATATAAAATGACATCCTGAAGAAAAAGGGGAACCCGGTAGGGGACATGTATTGCTAATGCAATACTCTCAGAATACTTGTTGTTATACCCCCCGCTTGAAAAGTGGGGGTATATAGTAATCGGTATTTCCGTCCGTCCGTCTGCCCGTCCGTCCGTCTGTTACGCTTTGGGGTACCCATCTCTTATCCGCAACTCCTCTCATACCACTGAATGAAATTTGATGAAACTTTCACAGAATCTTTATTACATGTTGCCATTGTGCACCTCCTATTTTACTTTTTGATCCGACACATATTTTGGGTTTCCCGGCCACAGGAAAACATGGACTTTTTCACCAGTTATAACCATATGGGAGGCGGGGGGTATCATTTAGTGAGCTCATCGCTCACAGTACCTCTAGTTTTTTATTGTGATAAATGATGTTGATAGGTTAACTAAATTGAAAATTCTAAAAATAATCTTTTTAAAGGCTACTCCTACAGCTGTAGTCTTATTGCATTCCTGCCACAAAAAGTGACAAAATTAAGAATCATTGTTCTATTTATTGCTGATGCAAAGTTTTAAGTAGACGGCTATGGAGATAACGAACAGTATTCAATCTCAAAGTCCATAAAACAATACAAAATAAGAGCAGAGCAAACACGGACCCCAGAAACAACAGAGGTGGGATCAGGTGCCATGGAGGAGTGAGCATCCCCTGTCACTTCCGCCGTGTGCTCCTTTTCATGATCGGGAAATAATGGCAAAATCCGTCGTCAATTCAGTGTATAAATAATGGACTAACAATTGGTATGAAAAACCATAACTATTTTTCTCTTCTTTTGATACAAGTACAAGTAGATCTATAGTCTTTTAATGTAATTTTTGTTTAGAATGTTTATTTTTGCAATACAAAACATAACTGGCATTTCTTTTTCCTAAATCATAATCAAATATAAGAATGGTACGAGAAAAGTAGCAAATTCGAAATGCAAAAGTATGATAACTTTGTTTTAATTAATTTTAATGTTTTGTTGTAAATATAAACGTTATACGGTAAACGTATTTTTTTAGTGGTTTTATTTTTGCGGAATAACAATTTCTGTTCACTCTGAGGGAATAGAATTACTCGGATTTCTTGGATTTTCTTTTTTTATGTCTAAGATGCACTTTAACACATAGTAGGGCAGCATACTTTAATTCCACTCTAGAAAATATATGCATAAGAGGTGGGGGAAACGTAAATTCCGCTATAAAAGTGGTGTATTACAATTATAGTGAGATACCGCTATATTTTCAGCCGTATTTACCCTCAATATCATCAAATCACATGCATGTTGTTTAAAGCACAAATCATGATGGGTATAAAAATGGACATTAACTGGCACCCTTACATACTATGTATTTTATTTAATTTTCTGGTGATGTCAGTTAACAATGCGAACACACTTTGTAAAACGGAAGTTACACTTAGGTATACAGACAGCATCTATTGGTGAAGGGGAACAAAAATTGTCAATTCCATCGTCCCTGCCCCCTGGGGCCTGAGGGGTGGGGCCAAAACCGCTAAAATATATGGAATCTTTAGAATTTTTTTTCCTTACTCCTGGACATCATGCAGTCAATCTCTTGGCATGATTGTGATCAGCATTGAGCCCTCTACCAAGATTTTGAAATTCATGGACCCAGGATCAGGAGAGTTCTTGTGTTAGAGTGGAGCTATATAGATCATATAGTAAAAGTTTATTATTCGTTTAAAAAATTTCCTCTTCTGCACC